GGGGGGGGGGGGGCGGCGAGACTGTCTAAATTCCGAACCTGAGTCCTCGGGAAAGGTAGTGATGAGGTGTAGGATGTGAGGAAGAATTCTGCTCTGGTGGGAGCATCTTTAAGTAGAGGTCAAATCCCTCAACGGTATGTAACAGAAAGAAGGTCGACCGTTTAAAGAACTCGTGAAGTTCTCATATTAATAGGCACCCAAATGGCAGCGTTTCAAAAACATAACTTTTTCTTTTCCCTTCATCGTAGCAAAGTCTCACTAGGCACGCTGTTGTGCATGACCCTGACAAGAAGAAAATGAACCTCAAAGTAAGTTAACTGGGGCCCGCTGTGGGTTTTAAACCCAAAGTGCCCCAGCCGGATGCAGTCTCGGGTACTTTCGGCTCGTCACTGCTGTGTGAGCTGCTCTACTGGGAACGCGGTCGCTGGGCTTCACTTTCTTCTAAGGGGGTGCTGGGTGCCTGTTGGGGGGTACAGCTATTAGGTTAGTTGGATAGTTTGATTTTGCGTTCTCATTGTCTCGCTTTCTTATTTCCAAAGGTAAAACCGTCTCGTGAAAAACGGAGTTTGGCCTCTCGTCTCAGTGGATACATTCCTCCTAAAAAGAAACAAGGACAAAGCTCATCTCTGCCTACAAACGGAGAGTCACTGAACTGTACTGAAGGCAGGGTGCTCTCGACGGTCGCGATACTTACCCTCAACTGAACACCAGACTGCTTTGCCTAAAGGACCACAGACCAGCCAGCTCAGTTCTTTCCTCCCAGAAGCACGTTTTTCTTTATTAAAATCACGGATGCACAACATCTGATTCTCTGTTGTTTCCATTTTCTTTGTTCAAAGGGTCCTCTTTCTGGGCTCCTTGGGTTTCTCTATATGCATTCTCTTCCTTTTTGCTTAAATGACGAAGAACACACATTACAGCTTTCCCTCCCCTAACAGGTTGTGGGCGGGTTGAGAAGGTAGCTATTCCGGGCATAGTTTGGAGTATTTGATTACATATCTCCTCCTAGAAGGGGAGAACGGCCAAAGATTAATTTAAAACCAATGTCTTCGACTCTTTCTAGTGCTAATGCTCTAATACCCATACAAATCTGCATTCTTGATTGAGTTGCTGTTACTTAAGTGATCAGCTCAATCAAAGTGTGCCTTTCTGGTTAAGCAGTCATTGAAACCTGTACCATAACCAGGCAGTTTTACAAACTCCATGGAACTATACTCCCGCACTAAAAGTCGATAGTTTAAAATCCCCGCTGTCAATGGCCCTGAGGGGCTGTGTTTGGCTCCAACTACCCTCTCGGAAAAGAGAAGTACAGAGCGATGGGTTTGGGCATGGGCAGAGGACCTCCTTATCCCCACAACTGTCAGTCCTGTGCGGTTCCTAACACCCGCTCACAGAGTCATTTGGGAAACACACCCAGTTCAGAGATCCAGGATCAGCTGGGCTGGGTCCTAGGTCTCGGTGATTCTAACATGAACAAGGGTGGAAACCACTGGACCCATGCTGCCGTTTAGCTGCTGAGTTCTCGGACTCTAAAAGTGAAGTAGGTACTCTGTAGACTGACCCTGGGAGTGTAAACTGATACTTTTCACAAAGACCATTTAACTTTATATGGAAGAATTCTCAGAGGCGTTCATAAATCGTAAATAGACTTTAAAAAAATGAGTATGTTTTTCTACTTAAGTGTTAGATACCGTACAATTTGTCAAAGAGAAGAGTATACGTTACTCTTTCACTAGATCACGAAGTGCAGTGTTTTCACGTGACGATACTTACGCTTCAGTGGAAAAAGTATACGGAGCGTATGTTTGCATTTTGAAAAGCGAATTGGGAAGCTACTGCCGTCACGGGAGAATTCGCCAGCTACTCTGCCTTTACGTCACCCAGACTTTCTACGATTGTTCTTTTAGATCAGCAAACAGAATGAGCAGTTTCTCAGACCTGCTTTCACTTACCATTTTATTTTCTGGCTCTACGTTCTTCCCTTTCTTTATAGTAATTTGAACTCTGTATTTTTTCTCAATCCATTGCTGAATCTGTTTACTCTTTGTGTCCAAATCATGTCGTCCAATATTTGAAGAAAAAGTTAGCTCCTTTGTCAGGGTAGGGCCTAGTTTAAAACAGAGACTTTTTTAGGACTGTTGACTGGTCCCTTTGGGGGGGCCTGAGCTGGGTCACGCACACTTCGTGAGATCTGCGGTTGCCACAGGGGCCCGGACGCTCCTCTTCCTGACTTAGTCTGACAGACCGGTGAACACTTTTTAAACAAGGAAAATAGACATAAAGGTACCAGTTTTTACCTGTCAAGTATCTAGATATGAAATGCTTCCATTTATTAGTACCCTCATTTGATGACAGTACAAAAGAATGGTCCTTTAAAAGGAACAAGTTTAGCTTTATGATGAACTTCATTGGCCTTATTTTTCTTTCTGACTGGAGCAGTGTTTAGGAAGTACTCCTTTTTCAAAAATTTTTTTAAAATGTTTATTTTTGAGAGAGAGACAGAGCATGAGCCGGGGAGGGGCAGAGAGAGAGGAAGACAAAGAATCCAAAGCAGGCTCCAGGCTCCGAGCTGTCAGCACAGAGCCTGATGTGGGGCTTGAAACCCCAAACCATGAGATCATGACCTGAGCTGAAGTCGGACGCTTATCCGACTGAGCCACTCAGGCGCCCCTGGGAAGTACTCTTCTCATCTGACTCCTTTAGTGGTGCCCTTCTAGTGACAATGGGGTCACCCGGACTGCATCGGACGAGAGCGAGCTCTCTATGTCCTGTATCCAGCAATGGAAATCCTGACTTAGAAAATTACAGGGAAGGAACAGATTCCTTAGTAAAAGCTTTGGAAGATTCAGAGTTTTCATACGGGGGAAAAGTTAGGTTTTAATCCACACAACAATCTCCCTGGGAGCACTAACCGCATGTGAAAAAATACAACTTTAAAATAGAAGAAAAGACCGGGTATGTTTGTGACCTCAGGCTAAAAGGATTTTGTTAAGGGACGGCTGGGTGACTCAGTTGGTTGAGCATCTGACTTCGGCTCAGGTCATGACCTCACGGTGTGGGAGTTCGAGCCCCGCATCGGGCCCTGTGCTCCAGCCTGGAGCCTGGACCCTGCTTCAGATTCTGTGTCTCCCTCTCTCTCTGCCCCTCTCCTGCTCATGCTCTGTTTATCTCCCTAAAAAATAAACGTTAAAAAAAAGAACGATTTTGTTAAGGAAAAAAATTGATAATTTCCTATGTCAAAGACACTATGGTGTAATTTTGAAAAGGGCAAAAAAAAAAGAAATCTAACTAGGATAAGGTTTTTTTGCATCACACAGAGAATCCTATAAATTGGCGGGGGTGGGAGGGGGGACCACGCAAGTAGAGGAAGAGGGCATGTAAACAGGCAGTTCACAGAAGAGGCAACTCAAATGGTGAAATGAAACCCAAAGAAATAATAAGATCGGGTTTCTCACCCATTGGCAGGACAAAAATTAGATGAGAGTACCAAGTATGGGTGAGGATGTAGAGAGAGAAATTTTATATATTGCTGACAATTTGCCCCATAGACTCTGGAGACACTGACAGACATGCCCTTTGGTCTGGAAACGAGCCAGCTCTGGCTGGAAATGAAAGGCTGGAAACGAGCCCAATGCCCATGGAAAGGCCCTGACCAATCCACGGTATCTGGTACATTCTGAGGATTCCATTGAATAATTATAAAAAATTAGCTACAGCTGTTACCTAAACCTAGCTCTTGAAGACAGCATGACACAATTTTCATGTGTACAGAATCATGCCATATACCACGGATTTGTACGTCACTGAAGTTAACAGCACAGACTCACATTCATGTCCACGGCGGCAGGGAGGGAGGATGGCACAGGAAAAGGGAGCACGGAGACTTCGACTTTCCTGTAATGTTTTGTTTCGTTTAACAACCTTTCGTACGACAACGTTAACGCTTGTTCATTTTGGATGGTGGGTAACAGGTGTGTATAGTTTTCTGTACGCTTTCTAATTCCCAAAAGTAATTTTCCTAAAAGACCTCCTTTTAGGAACACCTCCTTGCTTCCTTCAAGCTCCCGCAGCTGGTCCTACGTCGCCACCGGAACAAAATTAATGCCTTTACCACCTTAGAGCTTCAACTGTCTCTGCAAAGAGCACCCCCGCCAAAGCTCTCCAGACTTCTCGGTGCTGTTCTGCGTTTTTTCTGCGATGCAATGTGATGCCCTTACCATCCCGGGTGGCCTCTTTTGAAGACTTTTTGTTTCCCAGCCAACATCCTCGTTGAATGTGGTGCCACAGAACCGAGCCGCAGAGAACCGTGTGATTTTCCTAAGACACACAACCTCGCTGTGGCAGCTCTGGGACCCGTCTCCTGCCCCCTGCCCCAGAGTGTTTTCCATAAAACAAGCTTTCGTAACCGTCAGCACTTATTAGGACTCATGAAAAATTTTCACTTGATGTCTAGTTCCTGGCTCCATAAGGCATAAAAGACAAGGCCGTGGTGAGGTGATCGGTAAATGTGTAAATGAGCCTTACTACCAACAGGGTGTGGAAGATGCTCTATGAATCCCTTCGGAGATCAGAAAGAGCTTCCGGCCAACTGGCCAGGCGCCTCCACGTTAGAGATGAGGGGGAAAGCGGGGAACAGGGCCCCCATCCCACTGCTTCCGAGGCTCATTTCATTCCGGCCGCCAGAGATGCTGCCACCCCCGGGCCAGGCCAAAAGGAAAAGGGGTCCCGTCGTTCTGGGGTGCCCCCATTTTACACGAGGAAGCGACGCCGACCACAGGGCATCGGGGAAAAAAGACGGGAGGAGGAATGGAAATGAAGCGAGAGCTGGAGAAAGATGCGGGAGATGTGGGGAGGCCGTGAACTACCCCGCTGCTCACCCCCCCGCTGTCACCAGGCACCTCGGCAGACGCCCTCTGCGGTCCCTGGGGCTCAGGGCATGGGCAGCAGGTCACCTACCGGGTTTCGGGTGGGCCTTTCCCAGCTCCCGGAGTCGCAGGCGCTCCTCGTGGATCTGTGCCCCCGTCAGGAGCTGGTACTGCGGGGGCTCCGCGCCGCTGTCCCTTGTCACGAGCCTCAGGTCCCGCTCGTTCATGAGCCTGATCACGTCTGCTCGGTGCATGTTGCCCAAGTCGTTGCCCGCCTCATCCAGCACGTGAATAACCCGCTCGTGAATTTTTCTTCCGATGTTGCTAAGAGCTGGTTCATTCTTCTTTTTCTTCTTCCTCTCGTCCTGGGTGTCTGCAACAGTACCGAAAGCTTTTGCGTGAATCGGGCAGGACAGTCTCGGGCCAGAAGCTCGGAGGGACGGCCGTGCTGGTGCGGTCTGGTGCAGGGTGTATGTACCAGGACATCTAATGCAATTATTTCCAGTCTTTACGGTATGCAACGTTAGCCTCTTTAGAAGAAGAGTGGCCATCCTAAAAAGTAGGGAGAAAGGTTTGTTACCGTGCCATCATTTCATCCCCGTGGTCTGATACGGTGCACGGAGGGTGTGCGTGTGAGGGGCTGCAGGCCTGTGTCATCTGCAAACACTGTGGACCCGTGCACAGGAAATTTCCACCAATGACATGGACTGTCAGGTGACTGTAGTCACACTAGGTCACGGTGGTCCCGGCTCCAGTGCAAGTTACTGTCAGAACAAGCCGTATTTGCACAGTGCTTTCCTTTTCCATTGTTTCCTCCCCCAGTGCTGCCGCATTTGATCTATTTCCCGAGGATCTATTTCCCGAGCTGCCTCATTTGATCTATTTCCCAAGCACTACAGTGCTGACTCTGAGAGCAAGTATCATCCTACAGGTTTATTTAGAAGGCAGTACATAACATCCTCGGCGATTCACAAATACCAAGTCATAAACTGTGAATACAGTCAGCTGTTGAGAACTTATCAGTGTATCTGGAGGTATCCAGAACACAAAAGCGCTATTCTGGGAAAGCTGGGAGCACTCTGGGAGGACTCTCAGAGAGGAAATATCCCGACAGGAATCAAAGTGCCGCCCTCATAAACCGAACGGATGACTCACGAGGTAATAAGGCGTGACGACCAAGTGTTAACTAAGCGTTAGGCACACGGGGTGAAGCTGGTTTACTGCATGGGAATAACCGCTGCTCTTATTAACGGCATTTTGGCTTTTCACTTGCTTCTCTCGCCCCCTAAGTGTCTCTCTCCTTCCATTTGCACGTTAGGCCAAGGCCAGAGGTGCGGGCTGGAGGGATGAGAGGACCCACGCACATCCTCTGGGGTTTGCTGAGCAACACAAGAACTCAGGGAGGGGGCCCTGTCCACGACAAAAGAGGAAAGGACGAGGTGCCTTCAGCAGTGCTCCTCAAAGAACGTCCCCGGGTCACCCGCAATGACAGTCACCTGGAGTGTTCCCTAGAACCGGAAACCGCCTCTGGTCGCTAGCTTGGATCTCACTGGGCTGTACGACCACCGATCCTGCCCCCATCACCCCCGCCTCACGCCTCTGGTGGCAAGTGATACGACCAAAAAAAGACCTACAGTGTCGGTGAAAGTGAAGGGATGCAATCTCTGCAGTCCCTAGCTGGACAGCACCATACAGGCTGCCTGGCTCGACCTCTCCCCTGACTCCCCAACTTGTAGAGTTGCCTGCCCCCCCGACCTGTCCGCTGAATTTGAGACGTCACCCCAAACACCACCACTTCCCAGCGCTCTAAGCTCCTCCTGGGTCTTCCCTAGCTCATAGAAAGGCCATGCCTTCCAAAGGCTGCTCAAGGCCCCAGACAGCAAAGGCATCCTTCCCTCGCCTTTTTCTCTCAGCGATTCGTCGGTCCGGCTCTGTTCACCCTCTACAAACCTCCGGGATCCAACCCCCCCGCCCCCCTTCCCCTTTATCACCGGCTCCGGGCAGCATCCTCTCTCTCACCTGTGCAGGTCCCACCCAGCCTCCGGCATGAAACTGCCCTTCCCCCTGTAACTGATCACCCCGTGACTGGCCTTGTGACCTTTTTAAAATTACCTGCAGCAGATGACCCCTCCTCTGCTCACCTCCACCACCACCAGTTTCCTCTCCTCCGGGGGGACAAGCCAAACCCTGAAGGGGCGTGTGACCCAGCCTACCTCTGCCAGCAGCACCTGCCCCGCCTCCGGCAGTGGCAGTTCAGCCTCTCGATGGCCTGTACAGTGAACACAGTCCTCCTCCCGGGTGCATGTAGATAGTGAACAGATCCGCCCAGCGCATGGCCGGCTGTTATTAGCCGATGAACCGAGAGGCCATTTGGGGGTTTTACTATCCTTGAGCCTCCGCCCGCTCTGTAAAATACCTTCCATGGCAAAGCACCGACCATTTTGCCTTGCCTTTACCACAGGCGTCCCCTGCGGACATATCTGGTTATTTGCACATGTTCACAACCAGTCCCATTCTGTTGTGACTGCGTTGGGCAGCTAAAACTGACCGAGCTAGCGCGGCGTGATGCTCAGTGAATGTCTGAGACAAGGGAACAGCGGGAGGGGACCTCTGCGCATCCTCCCTAGCACTGTACAGGGGCTGGGGTCCCCCGGCCCCATATTCTGGCCTGGCACTTCACGTGTCCATGAGCAATTAGGAATCTGACCCAGCAGCTCCAGCCTTGTTGGTGAATGGAAGGTGCCCCCAGGTCCATTACCTGGACTGGGACTAACAGCCGCCGCCCAGATCCTTGTGCTAAAAAGGCTCTAAGACAGAGTAAACTGATTTTAAATAGCTGCCATAGCACTGTTTCACAAAAGCCAGGTATTTGTTGCTGGGGAAGCCCTATTAAAAAGCTTAGGACAGTCTGAAATGGTAGACCTTTTTTCCATTTATCGTCAGGAAAACAGCGGCAGCACCTGGAAGATTTCACACAGTGAGTTAAGGCGGCCGGGCAATAACACATGAAAGCTGGCTGTCCTGTGGCAATGAATCCTCAACACATTAAAACATGGTGTATTAGAGCGCCTGGGTGAAGCAGTCGGTTAGCGTCCACCTCAGCTGGGTGCGATCCTAGCACTCAAGTGAGTTCCGGCGGGCCCAGCGTCGGGCTCTGGGCTGATGGCTCAGAGCCTGGAGCCTGTTTCGATTCTGTGTCTCCCTCTCTCTCTCTGCCCTTCCCCACGGAACCAGCACTTTCGGTCTCTCTGTCCCAAAAAAGAGTAAATAAACGTTGAAAAAAAAAAAAAAACTAAAAAAAAAAAAAAAAAAAAAAAAAACAGATAATAATGAGTGTTCGTCTTAGGATTTTTGACAAGTAAGCAAATAACAGACAAGGCATAGGAAAAAGATGAAAAGAAATTTATGAAGACCCACAGCTTTGTCTGTGGTCCGAGCCAAGTGATTTGTCCCCTATCCTTCTTGCCATTTTTTTCCTCAATCTTTTACAGGGAATAAGTACTTCTATTTTTGTTTTAGTTTTAATTTTATTTTAAAATTTTTTTTTTTAACGTTTATTGTTGAGACAAACTTTTATCTTTGAGAGGTCAGAAGAGAGAACACAGGAGTAGACTCTAACTGTAACCTAGGCCGACATACTCACCAGGCAGATCATGACCTGAGCAGTCGACCCGGCTCTATAGCCTGAAAGGCATCTATATATTACAGAGTAAGCTCCACGCCCAATGGGGGCTTGAACTCACGACCCTGAGATCTCCACGCCCAATGGGGGCTTGAACTCACGACCCTGAGATCAAGAGTCACATGCTCTACCCACTGAGCCAGCCAGGAGCCCCTGGAAGAAGTATTTTTCATACTAGTACATTTATTTACAAAATAAAGACGATTTCAGAATAATGATGGGGAATTGTTTTTAAAGCTTTAAAAACACTTTCCAAGAAGAGGAAAAGGTAGAGAAATACCGTAACCACGTTTTTCTTTAAGTTCTTTACCGTTACTTACATTTTAGAGAGTTTCAAATTTCCTGGATTTACACAGCAATTAAGCTCCAATACGAGCTCCATTTTGGCTTTACGTCAGCAAAGCTGAACAGGTACACATTCCTTCAAAATAAGCTTTTCATAGATTAAAAACATAAATATGCAGTTAAGAAAAAAAGCTGTGAGATTACTCAATCTGAACCGCAAATCCCACCTTAGGTTCAAATAATTAAAAAACTTGTCATTAGGAAAAGTTTCAAACATGTCCCGGAAGACTAGTATAATCAAACCCTAAGCATCCCTCACGCAGCCTCATAATTAATAGAATGTGGCCAAACCCACTTCCTCTCGGCCTGGGCTATTCCCCTCCCCCCACCACCCTTGCCAGCTACCCATGAACTACTTCAAGGTAAATCCTATCTTGCCAACAAATACTTCAATATGTCATTCAATATGTCGTCTCTAGGAGGTTAGGACTCTTTTATCTGTTTTTAAAATTTATTTTAGAGAGAAGGGCGCCCGGGTGGCTCAGTTGGTTGAACGCCCGACTTCAGCTCAGGTCATGATCTCACGGTTCGTGGGTTCGAGCCCCGAGTCGGGGTCTGTGCTGACAGCGTGGAGCCTGGGGCCTGCTTCGGATTCTGTGTCTCCCTTTCTTTGTCCCTCCCCTGCTCATGCTCTATGAGTGGCTCTCTCTCTAAAATAAACATAAAAAAACATTATTTTAGAGAGACAGAGAGCTCTTGAGTGGCGGGGGGGGGAGGGGAGAGAATATCTTAAGCAGACTCCATGCTCAGGGCAGAGCCCGATGTGGGGCTCGATCCTATGACCCTGGGATCATGACTGGAGCCGAAGTCAAGAGTGGGATGCTTAACTGACTGAGCCACCCAGGCGTCCCTCTTTTATCTTTTTAATAACCATGATAACGCTACCCCAACTAATAATCATTCCTTTAAATATCCAGTTTTCTGATTGCCCCAATAATACTTTAATATCGTTTGTTGACATTTCATTCACAGGTTGGTAGCATGGACAGATTCCCACTGGCCAAATGTGTGGTAATTTCAACATTAAAGAATAATGGCTGAAAGTTATTTCAACACACTGAATACGCAAAAATCTATCAAAAAGAAAGATCGTTTGCCAGAGCCCTGCGTGACTATTACCCTGACTCCTCACTGTGAAAATTGGTCAAGAAAAAGAACGAAGCATCATCCTACCTCTTTAGGGAGAACTACAATCAGTAATCATCCCCAGTTGGTGAAGGAAAAGCTCTTCGTTAGAGGAGAATGCCAGCTAATAAATGGAGAAGAGAAGTAATTTACAAATCACCATTTTGCCACCTTCAATCAAATCACGGATTCAGGCAAGGATGGAGGCAAAATCATGAGGTAAAAAGCTAATGAGGAAACGAGGTATTCATATGGTGCCGAAGGGCGGCGCAAAGATTACCTACAAATCGAAATGGGGAAAACACACTTTGGCCGTCACCCTGCCTGACCTAAGGTCAGACTCAGCATCCCGCCGGTGGGAAGAAGCCAACATCCTAGGGCATGCCTCCTTGTGCAGTGT